ATTGTGATATTTCCTTTGTATGTTAAAACTGTCTCCATTTGCTCAGAGGTAAATGCAATCCCCCATCGCACTCAGAAGTAATACCCATTTTAAAATAATTTCCATTACAAAACAAAATGGGGGACAGCAAGGTGACTCAATGGGTGAAGGGACTTGCCACGAGCCTGACCACTGGAGTTTGATCTCCAGGACCCTTATGCTGGAAGGAGGAAACTGACTCCCACAAATTGTCCTCTGACCTCCACAAGCGCTCTGCATACACACACACCTCCCATAACAAATGAATAAATATAATAAAGAAATAAAAGTAATAATAGTCAGATGTGGTGGCACATGTCTGTAACCCTACACTCAGGAGGCACAGGCAGGAAGATTGCAAGTTCAAGGTCAGCTAGGGGTGTTCATCTGGAACTTCCAGCCCCATTCCTGTCCCCCCAAACCCCACCCCCTCGGAGAATCTCCAACAAAGGGAAGGCCCCAAAAGCCCAGTCCCGAGTACTTGGTGACTACAGTAGCTCCTCCCCTAAAGTCTGCACCGAAAGCACTCCACACCTGGGCACAAACCCAGCTTATAGAGGACAGTCATTGCCCCTTGCCTACCGGGTATTTAAGCTCCCTGCTTTAGTTCAGACACGTGACTTCTCCTGCCTCTTCTCCTGCCTTGATCTCTGGGGGCTGGAGATCTCACCCAGGAGTTAGTTTCTTTGCTCAAAATAAACCTGTTCTTTCACTTTTTCAATTTGGCTTGATTTGGCTTACTGCGGCGACAGAGAAACCTTACTATCGAGATACAGAAAACCTACTAAGGGGTACATAGCAGGACCCTGTCCACCCAAAAGAGAAACAAAACACAATGTATACAGAATAAAGGTACCCTGGGTCTGGCAGGATGATCCATCGGTAAGACCCCTCCGGTCAGCCTGAGGACCTGAGCTCAGTCCCCAGGGCCTACATAGGAGAAGGAGAAAACTAACTCCATAAAGTTCCTTTGACTTCATGCTCTTGCTTTGGCATATCAGTGTACACACACACACACACACACACACACACACACACACACACACACACACACACAAACACACACACACACAGAAATTATGAATATAATTACATTTTTTAAAAGACTGTTCCCCTAGCCGGGCGGTGGTGGCGCACGCCTTTAATCCCAGCACTCGGGAGGCAGAGCCAGGCGGATCTCTGTGAGTTTGAGGCCAGCCTGGGCTACCAAGTGAGTTCCAGGAAAGGCGCAAAGCTACACAGAGAAACCCTGTCTCGAAAAACCAAAAAAAAAAAAAAAAAAAAAAAAAAAAAAGACTGTTCCCCTAACCAACTACTCTAGCACAACTGTTAGTTTTGTTTCTGTAACACCATCTAGTTCTCAATTAATTACATATTCTACATACTCATAATTCTAAATCATGACTCAGCATTAGCTAGCAATCTACTATATTCAGTCAACAAATATCCTAAGCCAGGGAAACAATGACTTGGCTGTTACAGACTTCAATTGTCACATCCTTGTCTTCTGCTTTTAACATTTATTCACTCACTCGTTTAGTCAGCAAACATGTATGATGCTGGGCACTACGGGTACAGATATAAATAAGGCTCTGTTCTTGCCCTTGAACTCCAAAAGTCCAGGTGGTCAAGAGTGTCATGGGCTCTCTATGCCTTTGCCCATCCTGGTATAAACTATGTTTTTTTTTTTTTTATAATTAATTTAACTTTATTTTATGTGTATTGGTGTGAAGGTCCCCTGGAACTGGAGTTACAGACAGTTGTGTGCTGCCATGTGGGTGCTGGGAATTGAACCTGGGTCCTCTGGAAGAGCAGCCAGTGCTCTTAACCGCTGAGCCATCTCTCCAGCCCCATAAACTATGTTTTTAATACTAATTGCACAGCAGTGGCCAGAGATGTGTGCTTTGGTTGAGCGAGTTACTTCCTTAAGGCTTTAAGAGCAGAACCATGGGTGGGTGAGATCACTCATGGGTAAAGACACTAACCACCACGTTTGACTGCCTGAGTTCCATCTGAGACCCACGTGGCGGAAGGAGACAGCTAACTTCTAAAAGTTGTCTTCCTCCCTCCACCAATGGTGCGCGCACACACACACACACACACACACACACACACACACACACACACACACAAAATAAATACATCTGAGAAAAAGATAAGGCAGAATCATGCCACGATCTAGAAGACTTGTGTCCATGTTGTGGTATAATCTCAACACAGCATATGCTTCTACTTCCGACCACAGGAGGGTTCATCAGATAAAAATGTTCCTTTGAATGAGAAAAACAATTAAGCATTGAAAATGGGGCAACAAAAAAAAATACAAGATAAAAATAGGCCTTACCCGCCTGCTTTATGAAAAATGTTTTTAATGAGTGGATTTGTTTTGTTTGGGTTTTGGTTTTTCGAGATGGAGTTTCTCTGTGTTGCTCTGGCTGTTGCTCTGGCTGTTCTGGAACTCACTCTGTGAACCAGGCTGGCCTCAAACTCACAGAGATTCACCTGCTTCTGCCTCCCGAGTGCTGGGATTAGAGGAGCATGAAACCACTACCCAGCCAATGAGTGGATCTGGAGGTAGTGTTTTTACCATATTTCACCTTTCCTGCATTGTATATTTATGAGGAAGCTGGCATGATGGCCACTAACCACACCATGCATCTGGCTAAAACTCCAGGTCAGTTAGTTATGAGGAATCTGACTTATACTTCAGGCCTAGAACCAATCACTAACCCTACTTGGACAAAACAAAACAAAAAGCAGGAAACCCACCGTGGTGTGGTAGTTTGAAAGTAATTGGCCCCCATAAGCTCATAGGGAGTGGCACTATTGGGAGGTGTGGCCTTGCTGAAGGAAGTGTGTCACTGTGGGGATGGGCTTTGAGGTCTCTTTTTTGCTTAAGCTTCCCTCAGTGTCACAGTCCACTCCCTGTTGCCTTCTGATCAAGATGTAGCCAGCACTATATTTGCCTGTATGCTGCCATACTTCTTGCCACGATGATAATGGACTGAACCTCTGAACTGTAAGTGAGCCATTCCAAATAAATATTTTCCTTTATAAGAGTGGCCATGGTCCTGGTGTCTCTTCACAGCAATACAAATCCTAAGACACCCAAAAATCAAAAGAACAACCCAGTCAGCCATTACACACGTTACTGTAACATCAGCTGTTAATGTCTTTCTTCAGTGGCTGGTGTCTGTGTGTCTCTGTGTGTGTGTTGCTGAATTATATGAAAGCATATTACAGATGTCTTAGCATTTGACTCCAGATATTCCTGCTAACTCCTCCTAAAGACAAAGACATCATCTTACATACCCATAATGCCATTACCACACCCAAGGAACATACATTGGTATCCAGCAGGATCACCTTGTATTTAGCTGCCACCCCCGGTGACCTGTAAATATTGGCACTGCTGTGCTACCTGAGCCCTTGTCTCTTCCTGTAACTGTCTAGGGGTCTTGGTTCAGGTTTATTTTCTCCTCTAATTAAAGAGGGCTATCTAGACTGGGAGAGCAGCTCTGCAATTTACTGTGTGTGAATTGGATTTAAGCCCTGTAATCTGGACACACACACACACACACACACACACACACACACACACACACACACACACACACACACACACCCAAACATCTAAAAGAACTAGAAAGTGTTGGCATCACTGTTGTTGTTGGTGGTGGTGTTTTCTTAGCTTCTCTATGTCACTGGAATTGAATGGTGAAGGCAAAAACAGAAGTACCCAGGGTGCAGAAACAAAAACCATCACGTGTGGAGCAAGGGAGTCTTGTGGGGAGAAGTAAAAGGACATTCCGTATCAAAGAAAAACAGTCCTGGAGATACCAGGAGAAACAGCAGGCATTAGGACCCAGTGGCGCCTGCATCCCCAGACTCCTGCCCAAGGGTGCTGAATCTGCTTCTAACTGCCACACCTGCCTACCGGAAGTAGTTTATCTAGCACTGGCAATTTATTCTTCAGGTCCTTGCTGAGATCTGTGTTTCTCCAATGTCTGGACTTTGCTTTCTAGGCGCAGCTATCTCAAAATATTAGCTCTCTATGTTAGCTGAACAGTTTTAGATGCAAATGGCTTGAAAAAGTCTAAATCCCTCTTAGAAATCAGTAAATAATGCTATGGGAAACAATGTGTCATAATCTAAAAAGTCCACAGGGGAGGTCTGATATTAGTTCCTTACTCTGACATAGGAAAGGCATTAACCCCATTGCGTGGCAATAGAACCAGTTTTGGTGTTTACTTCAAGTCTCCCAGTTCCACGGATCGCATTAGGAATCCAGGAGAAGATTGGGATGTTTGTGCCTATGGCACAGGATCCCCTGAGGGCTCAATGGTAACTTTTGTGGATGCCACAATTTTGATGTTGCTAACCATGATGGTGATCAAGTCACACAGTCACCTCCATTTTGACGAGGTCTTTGGTCAAGACGGCAAAAAAGACATTTTGTTACTTCCTGCCAGTGGTGTGCTAAGCTCCATGATAAAGCAAGTCCATCCTACATCAGGGCTTGAATCTCCGTGGGAATCTCACATGCTAAATGTGAACAGTCACTCCTTTATTTTTAAAATAAGCATCATTGGGGCTGGTTAATTTTGATGCATAATTTTTTTAATTGCAACTTTTTTATTAATAAAGTTTAAAACAAAAATACATTACTAAAAATTAAAAAAACCTTCATCCAAGTTAGGGTAGCATGGATAAAGCAGAAGAAATTACTTTCAAGTATGCCTCAAACAGCAAAGTAAAGAAATAGAGAAAGCAATTTCATGATCTCAACCCAAAGAAGGGTAGTGTTGTGGAATATTATTTTAACTGCATTGAAGGTGTGTTACATTTGTTTCTGCTGCTTTGTTAAGGATGAAAGGACATGTTACATTTGTTTGATTAAATAAAATTAACCTGGGGTCAGGAGGCTGTTGTAGAATATTATTTTAAGGTGTGTTATTTTTGTTTATGTTGCATTTGTTTAACTCTGTGAAGCTGTGTCTGTCTAAAACATCTGTGGTAACTGGGTGGGTGGCCTTTAATGCCTTTAATGCCAGCACTTGGGAGGCAGAGGCAGGCAAATCTCTGAGAGTTCGAGGCCAGCCTGGTCTACAGAGTGAGTTCCAGGACAGGCTCCAAAAGCTACACAGAGAAACTCTGTCTCGAATAAAACAAAACAAAACAAAATAAAACAAACCCACCTGATGGTCTAATAAAGGACTGAATGGCCAATAGCAAGGCAGGAAAGGTTAGGCAGGGCTAGCAGGCAAAGAGAATATATAGAAGGAGAACTCTGGGAGGAGAAAAAAGAAGTAGCCAGAGAAGGAGGAGGACTCGAGGGGCCAGCCACCCAGCTACACAGCAAGCCACAAAGTAAGAGTAAGAGAACTGGAAAATCCTAGAGGCAAAATGTAGATGGGATCATTTAAGTTAAGGAATGCTGGCTAGAAACTAAGCCAAGCCAAGACCAGGCATTTATAAATAAGAATAAGCCTCTGTGTGTGATTTTTTGGGAGCTGGGTGGCGGGCTCCCCAAAAGAGCAAAAACAAACAACAACAGGAGGCTGAGTCAGCAATTGGCTGACAGGAAGTAGTAGGGAGGATCTAAGTGTACCAAGGATTCTTTAGTGGGGGTAGAAGGCTGGTCCTTTTTTGGGAAATGTGATCTAGGAGAGAAGGTTAGCTATTTTCTATTCAATCTCTCTGAGTTAGCATGATTTTACTTCAACCTTTGAATCCTGAGTTCTATAGAAAAATAGAGATTTAGATAAGGTTTCCTTTAGTGGCCATGACAGAGCTGGTACCTGAGGGAACAGAATTCCCTCCTGGCTGTGGCCCATGTGGCTGAACTGCTGCTGATAGCTGTGGAATTGCAGTTGCCGGTTGGGACAGCAATTGTTTAAGGTGCTTAAGGTGCAGCCATTGTATTGAATGCAAAACAATGTTGGCGCCCAACATAGGGCACCAAAATGTAGTTGGTTTTTCTTTTTTATTCTTTGGGGGTCTGCCACCCAGCTCCCAAATAAATACAGGGAGACATATTCTTACTTATGAATGCCTGGCCTTAGCTTGTCTTGTTTCTGGCCAGCTTTTATTAACTTAAATTATCCCATACCTTTTGCCTCTGGGCTTTTACCTTTCTCTATTCTATATTCCTTTCTTTCCTTCTTACTCCATGTCTAGCTGTGTGGCTAGGTGGATGACCCTGGCATTCTCCTCTCCTTCTCCTTTCCTTTTTCTCTTATTTATTCTCTCTGCCTGGCAGCCCTATCTGTTTCTCTCTCCTGCCCAGCTATTGAGCAGTCAGCTCTTTATTAGACCAGTCGGGTGTTTTAGACAGTCAAAGTAACACAGCTTCATAGAGTTAAACAAATGCAACATAAAAGAATGCAACACATCTCAGCATTATTAAACAAATATTCCACAGCATAAACAAATATAATACATCTTCAACTAATATTCTACAACAGAGGAGTCCATATTGGACTATGGGAGTGGCTAGAATCACAGTGTGAAGTTTCTCCCAAAAGGCTTCTAGAGAGAAAGAAAGGGAAATTTAACCATGACTCAAATTTTAGGTTAAAACAATAGTGGGCCTTCTGTCTTTTAAATCCATAGAGGGACAGAGGAAAGACAGAAATATAGAAGCTTTAAAAGCAACAAAAGGTTTACCTGTCTCCAGGATAAGAGCAACTTCACATATCTCCCTAAAGAGAGTGGCCTAGGACTGCTCTACCCACATTAAAAAATGTTTAATTTTTCTTAGAGGTGTGTGTGTGTGTGCACATCATGTATATACAGGAGCCTGTGGAGGTGAGAGGATAGCATCTGCCCTCCTGCACCTGGAGTTACAGGTGTTTGTGAACTGCCGTGTGAATGCTGGGAGTTGAACTGGGGTCCTCTGCAAGAGCAGTCTTCTCATTTTTCTAAGAAAGCAGTCCTCTTTCTTTCTAAAGAACTTTCACACATTCTTAACTACTTGTTAAAGGCCCTTTTCATGTTTGATTTAGGTGAGATGAGCAACAAGAGGAAAGATAAGACAGAACCCTCAAGTTTGAGAAGACATGATTAATGGGGTAAAGATGAAAGATTTAATCTCATTGGAAACAAAGGTCATTGAGTTTCTCAGAAGCCAGCTATCAATAATTAACTCTAAGAGATCCTTCATTTCAGCTCCAGGGGTGGCTATCATGAATTTGGCCAAAACTACCAAAACAAAAACAAAAACAAACAAACAAACAAACCAACCAAAAAAAACCTCTTGCTCTCTGATAGGCATTGGAGGTAAATTCTGAATAGGAATCTCCCTATCAGAGAAAAAGGAGAAACCAAATTACCAGCCTAGTAATTCCATTTGCTAAACTTGGGGGTCCCCCATTCATGGATGGGAAGGAACCAGGAGAGTTTAACTATCACACCCTTTGTCTTAGTCACTGTTCTATTGCTGTGAAAAGACATCATGACCAAGGCAGTTCTCATATAGGAAAGCATTTAATTGGTGGCTTGCTTACAGTTTCAGAGGGTCAGTCCATGAGCATCATGGTGGGAAGTAGAGTGGCAGGGAGGCCTGCATGGGAGCAGTAGCTGAGAGCTCACATCTGATCTGCCAGTTGTAGGGAGAGAGAGAGAGAGAGAGAGAGAGAGAGAGAGAGAGAGAGAGAGAGAGAGAGAGAGAGAGACTGGGCCTGGCCTGGCTTCTGAAATTCAAAGCCCACTCCTAGTGACACACCTCCTCCAACAAGACCACACCTCCCAGTCCTTCCCCAACAGTTCCAACAACTGAGGACCAAGCCTTCAAACACCTGAGCCTAAGGGAGGCATTCTCATTCAAACCACCACACCCTCCTATCCTTTCTGAGTTTGGCTTTGTTCATACTGACCTTAATGAGTCAGTCGTCTTCAAATTACATGAATTTGGGGGATGAATTCCTCCGAAATGTTACTGTCTAGGGGTCTTGGGTTAGGTTCGTTTTCTCCATTGACTAAAGAATTAAAATCTAGGAAATAAGTCATAGTCACAGCAAGCAAACACGTTTTATTAAAAGTGAAAGTGTATCCATGTAGCACAGTCCCCCCAAGACAAACTCACCACGAGTGGGAAGGAGATCCAGAAACTGAAATCTGCACCCTCCTCCCTGGGAGGGATTGGGTTTTTAAGTGTTTGGGGTAGCATAGGGCAGGTCCCCCTCACCTCATTTTAGACTGGTCAAATTAGACAAGGAAGAGTGAGCTAGTTGGGTTATAGCGTCCAGGGTCAGGGCCTGCCTAGGCCATGTCAAGGCCTAGAGGGAGTCCACCATGGGAGGAAGGAACTGTTGACTCTTTGTCCTGGGAGACGAAGGAGCCAGAAGAATGCCATCTTGTTTATGAATGACCTCTTTCCCTGTCTGTCTGCCAGAGTGTTCTCTGACCCTGGTATTCCCTCATGCACTGCCCTTTCCAGAGCACAAAGCCTGACTCCATTCCCTGTCAAGTCTGGGGACTTGGCCAGGCACTTACACCCATCAGCTCCAGATCTTGGCAGCAGATGACTTCCCACACCTCAGAACCAAGTCCATCCCTGTGGGCCAGGACCACAGCAAGGCTGCTTGTCTCTTGACCATGACCTGTGACTACTCTGCAGCTGGTGGTTGGTATCTGAAATGGTAAGCAAAGATATAACCGGTTGGTCCACCGATGTGTCCTTCCATATATTACCAGGGGAGATGGATTTTATCAACATGCAGGAGTTTGGATTGCATTCACATAGGTGTCAGAAGGGCAAGTGTGCCTCTGCTTCTCAGTAATGGGTAAAGGAAATGCTTTGGATGGATGAGGGAGGGCAGAAAGGCGAAGGTGGTGATGGCCCTCACCTGAAAAGCAAATTCCTTAAGTCCCAGAGACCATCTTCTAGGTCCACTGGGAAAGTGCACAATAAGCAAAGACCTGGCACCAGGCCAAACAGGATGTTTGACACAGAAACATGCTGGTCCTGTCCCCATCCTGGTCTGGGAACTGGAGAGCACACTGGCGAGCCTTTTCCCATGGGCAGGGCTGGGGGAGGGGAGGGCTTTCTTTTCTCACGAGTCTCAGAGGGTCCCACCTCATGTGAATAAAGAGGACTCATTCTTGCTCCAAGGACCCCTCCTCCCCCCACCCCAAAAAGGAACCAAGGGTGTGAATAAAAATAGAAATGAGCTCAGCGCTCTCACAAGCAAGGTTCTCAATGGATCTGGACCTTCAGTGAGTGGAAATAGCTCATTTGAAATAGAATCCCACGGACAGGCTTCTGGGCTTTCTGTTTTCGCCACATTAACACCCCAACAAAGGGCTGTCACATCATTGCTAAGGCAGGAAATGAGGGGGTGAGTAGACATTGGCTGCATTCCTCCCTTCCTCTGAGTTCAGGCAGCCAGTCCTGGAGGCTGGGTGCTGGTTGCCTAGGAAACTGCTTGGATGTGAATCTCCAGAAAAAGCGCTGTCTGCATCAGGAGATGCAATTACTGGTTTTTTTTTTGTTGTTGTTGTTTATTTGTTTTATTTTTTTCTTCCTTTCTTTCTGGTATTATGTGATGCTGGGGGCAGGAAGGAGCCTTCTTTTAACCCTCCTGAACCAATTTCTTCACATGTAAAGAGATTCTCTCTCTCTCTCTCTCTCTCTCTCTCTCTCTCTCTCTCTCTCTCTCTCTCTCTCTAGTATCATTGCTGGTTACTGAACCTAGCAGACACTTGCTGTGGCTTTTCTCTCTTTTCTCCTACCCACCTCACCAGCTTGCTGCACTTAATAGGCACCAATTGAATAAGCAGAATATAAATGAGACGAAGAAATAGGTTTGGTAATGAAACCTTAACTCCATTTTTGTAACTTGCATGATAGTAAAAGCTTAAGCAAGTTTCATGACACAGTGTTAGATTATTGGTCTTTTGTAAATTGAAAAATCATGAAAGATGCAAATACTTCTAATTCACCACTTCTAAGAAACACACAGTTATTGTTTTCTCTTTGAATAAGCATAGCTACAGAGTGGGGGTGGTGGATGAAGTTTCTCAGTAAATCACTCGCTTTTCCTCTACTTGTGTTCAGACCCAACTGAGATAGATGTGGAGTCAGCAAACAGGAGGAGCCATCTCCCTGTGGAACAGCAATGGGCGTTTTAATTGCATTGCTCTAACTGGAGAGAATCCACACTCCACATACAGGTAGCATTGGACTGCCTCCATTGCTCCCAGACTTAGCTCCCAGCCAAGGTTGTGCTCATTCCTGCTGTGGGTGGCCAGTACACACCCTCTGCAGACACCAGTGAGGCTGTGTCTCATAAGGAGGAGCTCTTAGTCAACATGCACTTAAAAAGACTTTAAAAACTACAAGTCTGTCGTTTAAGTAGCAAAGCAGAAGTTGTAGAGACTGCCAGACTTCTATGAGGCTTTGACTTCCCCCAGATGCGGGTAGCTGGGGCCATCAGGGTATTCCTTTGTCAGAGCTGTCTTCTGATTAAGAGAATGGCCTCCCCAAAGTCATGGCACTGATAGTCAGGACTGGTCAGAGGGAAGGGAGTATAGAGCTGTACTCCCTTGCCTCAACTGGGGACATCTCTGAAGAGTTCTTTAGGATGACTGATACCATCCCAGAGGCTGCAGGACTCAGCTTGTGGCTTCTTCCCTATCTCCTCTAGTTGGCACCATGTTTCATGTGTAAATCTCTGTCTTTCCCCCAAGGAACTGGTTTGAGAAAATTAATTTCAAAGTAACTACATCATGCCCTTAGATTGTAAGAAATGATAGATGCCCATGGAGAACTGTATCTGAAAATCCCTGTTTTCAGTCATTTTCTTCATATAGTTAGATGATCATATTTCCCTCAGTTTTTTTTTCCCAGTTCTTATCTGCAGCGTTCCTATCTATCTGGTATTGAACCTTCCAGACTATTCTCTCCTGCTTTCCACCCCTCCTCCTCCTCCTCCTCCTCCTCCTCCTCCTCCTCCTCCTCCTCCTCCTCTTCCTCCGCCGCCGCCGCCGCCTCCGCCGGAGGCGGCACCTCCTTCTTCTTAACTCTACTTTTTACAAGAGTTATCCAACTTTTCTTCCAGTGTCTCCACTGGATTTTCCTGATGTTATTATATTTTGTGGTTCCTGAAAACCTTTTTAAAAAATTCTTTAGACTTTAGTTTTACTATTTTATTTTGAGACATGGTCTCCCTCTGTAGCCTAGGCTGGCTTGGAATTCATTGTGTAGCCCAGACTGACTTTGAACTCATTGTTTTGTTTTTGTTTTTGTTGTTGTTGTTGTTTTCCATGTACAAGAACATAAGGATTGAGTTTTATTCATGAATTCTCAGTCCTAATATTTTCAATGGTCTTTTTGTAATGAGTTTATTAAAAAAATAGTGAGGACAGTTGGTAGAGACATTTGTGAGGACCACAACACTTATCCCACTGCTCTCTCTCTGATCCTGGGATTTGTTATCTTTCTAAGTACAGCTTCTCATAAAAAGAATCACATGACCCTCCCCCCAGTGGAGAAGCTCTAGTAAAGAACCTAAGGACAGCAATTCAGTTTTAATTACCAGATAGAGTATTTCAACAGCAAAAGGCTTTCATAAGCACAAGGTATTTCTAAATAAGGATAAGGCTGTGACTGTGGACATTTTAGTCATAACTTTGAACTCATTGTAAGCCTTTTGCCCCAGCTCTTGAGGAGCTGAGATTACAAGCTCCACACCTGGCCAGCTCTTCTGTTCTGATTTCCCGGACTCACTGTTTTGTCTTATCTAAAGATACTCATGAGATTTTCAAATATTTTTCTTCTCCCTACATGATGTCTATATATCCTCCTTTCTCTGTTGGCTTGGGTCTCCTGGTGTAGTGGTATTTGGTTGCCTCTCCATTTTTTTTAAGATCTAGTTTTATTTTTGATTATGTATGTCTGTGTGTCTGTGTGTCAGTATGTGCATATGAGTGAAGATGCCCGAGGAGGACAGAGGCTTCAAATCCCCTGAATTTAGAGTTACAGGCAGTTATGAGCTTCATGAAATGGTTTCTGGGAACTGAACTCCATTGTAAGAGCAGTAAGTGCTTTTAACCTATGACTCATCTCTTCAGTCCTATCCATACTCACTAAAAAATCTTTTTAAATATTTTATTTATTTTTATTGTTTATGTGTATGTATTTGTCTGCATGTATCTATGTATACCATGTGAGTGCCTAGTGCTCACAGAGGCCAGAATCAGATATCAGATCCTCTGGAACTAGAGTTATAGTTGAGAGCCACCATGTAAATGCCAGGAAGTAGCCCCTGGTCCTCTATAAGAGTAATAAGTGTTCTTACCTGCTGAGTCATTTCTCCAGCTCTGAAAAGCCTTTAAAAATTATATTTATTTATGGAGAAAGTTGCATGTGCCATGGCACACATGTTGAGGTCAGAGAACAATTTGCAGAAGTTGGTTCTCTTCTACCAGGGATTGAACTCAGATGGTCATGTTTGGTGATAAAAGACCTGTACTTGATAGCCATCTGACTAACCCATGCCCATTCATATTTATAAGAGATACACCAAAAACTGACTGAAATCTCTAAGACTGCCGTGTTACAGTCAAATCCTATGTGTCTTCTTGAGGAAGCTCCTGGTACTTAGCTGTTTGGTCAAACAGTGGCTTATAATGTCTCTAGGTCCCCTAATTTAATTTAACTCCTACCAATTATTTAAACATATTGTCTTCTTTCCTTACCATAATGATTCTTTACCTCTGACTTGAGTTTTTCTCCAGACACCAGGCAATTTAAAGAGTCCACTGTGGCTGTAAGTTTCTCCAGTCCCACCTGCCCTGAGGACCCACAGCCGCATATAAAATAAACCCTCAGAGGTTTAATATTAATTGCAAATTATATGGCCTACGGGTCAGGCTATTTGCTAGCTAGCTCTTATAACTTAACTCAACCCATTTCTATTAATCTCTATGTTGCCATGTGGCCATGGTGTTACGGTCTGTTGGTATCTTGTTGCTCCAGCAGTGGGCTGGTGTCCCCTCAACTCCACCCTTCTTCCTCTTGTCTTCAGTTTGAATGTACCACCGAACCTTATCCTGCCCTGCCATAGACCAATGCAGCTTTATTTATCAACCAATCAGAGCAACACATATTCACAGCATCTCACAGCAGTCCACAATATGATATTTTGTGCAAAAACAAAGCATAAAAAGAGGTTGCAACTTTCTTTCCCCACCAAAGCCCTCAGGAGGCCATAGAGTCAGAGGCTCTGGGTTTGGAAGAAACTGAAAAGGCTAATGCTACAGGAAGCCATGGGTGGATTGCTTTGTGTCTAGGACCACTAGGCAGATCATCCCTCAAGTTCACCATGATCACCACACTTCCCCATGCTCTGCTTTGGAAAATGATAGACACTGTTACCCAAACTACTAAGATTGCCAGAGAACTAAGGAACTCCTATGTTAGTTCTTAGCAATTGTTAGGGCATGATCCTGACTTCCTGAAGGATACCTGTGACTATGCTCTCAGAGATGACTGCTGTGTGTTCCCACAGACGTTTCAGATGCCTGTGTATCAATATTCAGATCACAAATGGGAATCCATCAAATTGTCACCTGTATCTTAAACCCTCCTGTAGGAGACCTTCACACGCAGCTTCTTGCAAATCTCCAGTCTAGATTGTATGCTGTCACCTCGTAGCTTCAGCAGTTGTTCTTTCTAGTTCTGACATAAAAACTACAGCTCTCATCTTAAAGGGAATAAACTGTATTCTGGAGCCATTTTGAATTACCCCAAATTCTGTGTTCCATGTGGAAGCAGTTTTATGAAATTTTTTATAGTTTTATAGAACCAAGAAAAGTCATACATCAAGGCAAGTTTGAAATACCTTGGTGGGTACACCAGAGAGGCAGATACATTGAAATGGGGGGGGGGGGCACTTCTCTAGAGGTCAAGATGTTATTTGATGACATTCTTAGCCTTTGGATTGTTGGAAACTAGTATTCTGATAAGTCAATAGTTTCTAAGAGTTTTTTTATTTATTATCACGAGGTGTCAGTTCAGATACAGAATGAGGCAAGGAATGGCTGTCTCAGAGGCTAAAACTAGACCAAGATAAAGTAACTTGCCTCCGAACCTACAAAATTCTAATTTCTCCATAGTACTAAAATTCCAATTGACCCATCAGTCTTTGCAGACACAGACTCCTTCTAGGAGTATTTTGTTCACAGCCAAACACAGCTTCTTTTCAGGAATTTTCATCCACTCATCTATTCTATGTTTATGTATGTTATTTTTCCTTTCCTGTGATAAAATTCCATGACCAAAGCCGGGCGGTGGTGGCGCACGCCTTTAATCCCAGCACTCGGGAGGCAGAGCCAGGCGGATTTCTGTGAGTTCGAGGCCAGCCTGGGCTACCAAGTGAGTTCCAGGAGAGGCGCAAAGCTACACAGAGAAACCCTGTCTCGAAAAACCAAAAAAAAAAAAAAAAAAAAATTCCATGACCAACGCAACTTAGAGAAGGAAGGGCTTGTTTGCACTTACAGTTACAAAGTGATAAGAATCCATCGCTATTACTGCAGGGAGCCAGGGCAGCAGGCTGGCAAGGCGGCTGGAGCATGGGGGTTCACATCTTGAACAGAAAGTACAAAGCAGAGAGTAAACTGGAAGTGGCTAAGTCTTTAGACTCTCGATGCCCTCCTCCAGTGACATGCTTCCTCCAAAAGTATGTCGTCACTCATTCCAACCACCACATTCCAAAACCGGGTCCTCATAGGTTCGTGGCCATAGTATAATGCAAAAATGCTTTTAGTCCAACTTCAAAAGTCCTGATAGTCTTCTATAGATTCAACCCTGTTTAAAAGTCCAAAGTCTCTTTTGAGAGACAGTGACTTGTAAAATAAGAAAGCAAATTACTTATTTTCAATATACAATGGCACAGAGTATGCATTACCATTCCAAAAAGGAGGACTGGGGGTACAGTGAGAAAATACTGGACACAAACAAGACCAGAACTCAGCACAAACACCAAATCCTCTAGATCAAAGTCCCATATCGGGAATTTAATTTCAAAGGGCTTGGATGATACTACTTTCTAGTCTTTCTCCCTGTAACATACATCTCTCTTTTGGTCTGGTCCCACTCCCAGTATGCAGCTCTCCTTGGCAGATATCTCATGGCTCTAGCATTTCTAACATCTCGGGGTCTCTAATATAGCCTAGGCTTCATGTCCACAGCTGCAAAAAATGGCCTCCCAGGGTCTCTTGCCCTCTCAGGATCTCACACAGGGATTCCCCTCCCACATGTTGCCAGGCCCCAGTGGCCCTCTGAAACCACAGAGGAAGATTCCACAACCCCTTTAGTCTTGCATCCATCATGACTCTAAAGCTAGAACCATGTGGATGACACTGCCAAATTCTGTTACCTGCTTGGAATGGAACTCTGCCCCTTGAATGACATTTAAAGCAGGCTTTTAACCTAGTCACTTTTTAGGATCAGAAAATGCCTCAGGCTCTCTTTTCACAAATTAGAAGCTTATCTGAGTGGCAAGACCTCACTCAGCTACTTTAGTTACTTTTATGTTGCTGTGATAAAACACCATGACCAAGACAACTTATAAAAAGAAGAGTTTGTTTGAGTTTATGGTCCCAGAGGAATGAAAGTCCATTACCATCATTGCAGGGAGGTGTGGCCACCACAGGCAAGCATGGTGAATTGAACAGAAAACTGACAGTTCACATCTTAAACCACAAATACAAAGCAGACAGAGCAACTGGAAATGGGCTGGGCCTTTACACTCTCAAAGCAGACCCTGAGTGACATACTTCCTCTAATAAGACTGCACCTCCTAAACCTCCCCAAACAGTGCCACAAGCAGGGAACACTTGTTCAAAATACCTGAGTCTTTGGGGGGTGGGGGGGACTGTTGTAGAATATTTAACTATGCAAAGATGTGTTACATTTGTTTATGCTGTGGAATATTACTTTAACTATGTGAAAGTGTGCTACATTTGTTTATGCTGCATTTGTTTAATGATGTAAGGATGTGCTGCATTTGTTTCACCTTGCCTGCCTAAGGCACCTGATTGGTCTAATAAAGAGCTGAACAGTAAATAGCTAGGCAGAGAAAGGATAGGTGGGGTTGGCAGGCAGAGAGAATAAGTAAGAGGAAAATTCTAGGATCAAGAGAAGAGAGAGGAGAGAATGAGAGAGACACCTGGGGCCAGAAATCGATCCAGACACGAGAAGCAAAGTAAGATATAAAGAAGGAAAGAAAAGTGAAAAGCTGTGAGGCAAAAAGTAGATAAAGAGAAACAGATTAATTTAAGTTAAAAGAGCTAGCCAGAAATGAGCCTAAGCTAGGCAGAGCATTCAAAACTAACAATAAGTCTCTGTCATGATTTGGGAGCTGGTTGGTGGGCCAAAGAATTGCTACAGGGGACCTTCTCATTCAAACCACCACAGTCAGATGTAAGAGCAGTCTGGCTGTTGCATCTACCATCCCGTTGATCACCAGGATTGAGTCAGCTGAGGTGGCTAGCGAGGTGGGTGTCCCATTCCTCTCTCAGCACTCCATGTGAGTCCCTCCCAAATTATGTGCTTGTTTGTTCCCAAACAGGACTTCCAACAAGGGTACAGGAGTAGCTGAACTCCCTTGCTAACAAGCTCCCAAACCGCCCTAGTCTATTCTTCCAGAAATGTGTGGTTACTAACATTTTTAACACCTATCAGTGTGAAAGCATGGTGGAAGATGGTACAGCTGGCTCCAAAGGGGAAGTGGACATGATGCCAGTCTACCTGGAGAGCTCACTGGCCAAACCTCAAGACAATGAATTTTCATTCCATTGCTAGTCTCATTTAATAATAGATCCGGGGAGGGAGCCGAAACAATGGAAGAGCAGCCAACGGCTTGCAGTTGCCTGCTTCTTACCCACGACTTTAGTTTCACTACACCTTAGCCAGGCTACTTTCCAAATGCCTCTACATTTTGCTTTGTTTCCAGGCACCCAGGCACACACTGTCTACCTAAACACCACAGAATCTGCGGATTAGGGAGAACACTGTTCCCTATGTAAGTGACCTGATTTTGCTACATGCTTATCCCCACCAATTTGCCACCTGGCTCCCCCATACCCATCAATTCCTGCATACTCTGCTTGTCATTTCCTAGTAAAGAAACTCCACATCTGTTTGGTCCTGGATGCTTAAAGGTACTGGCCTAGAGTATTTCTCTTTTGTAATTGACTTTCAGTTTTTGTCTAGACTTGTGTTTTGGATGCAGCGCCATGCAGATGAGGATCCTAAATAAATCCTGTTCACATGGGCACTGTCTAAGTCTGTTGACATACAACATGATAGTCTTATTTCCATTTATGAGCAAATGATAGCACTAGGTAGCGCTCTAACTCCAGGCCACCGTGGGGAGTTCATATCAGGCATAGTGTATGTATGTGGGTGGGCATGATACAAAAATGTCTACCCCCCACCTCTTTCCTGTTTGAGGTTCACAATAGAAGCTGCATCCTAATAATAACCAACCTTCCACCGTTGTTCTGTTCCCCCTTAGGCTTCTCTCTAAACTTGCCCATTCAAGGCCAGCACGTATGACAGCTATAAACCTATGCAGTTCAATGAGGTATTGGGTCTGTGTCAGGAATCTTCAATCCCCGTGTCACGGAAATTCACCCTTACCTGGAGTGAGAAAACAACTGCCTCTGCAGTTCTGACAGGGGAGCTGCTGTGCCCACTTCCTTCTCCAGGCTCCTCCCAGCCCTGCATCTGTGGTCATAATATGGCCGATGCACTCACTGCGCATTTCCAAGACCCTCTGCGGCAGCTGATGCCCAAACACACAGGGGTCAGCAGCTCTCTAGGCTCTTGCCTGCTGTCTGACCAAGGCCTTTCTGGGCAGCAGTTAGGATCCTAAGCAATGATGTGAATCTCTGCATTTCAGTTTTGGGAGGTGATAAGCGATGAGCATGGCATCGACCCCACTGGCAGTTACCATGGTGACAGCGATTTGCAGCTGGAGAGAATCAATGTGTACTACAATGAAGCTGCTGGTAAGGGTTTGGATGTCAGCCTTGCTTTCCATACTGTGGCAGAGGAAGCGGCCTAGGAGCATGCAAACAACAAGGAAATGCTTTTTGCATCTTATTTAAAATGCCAACTGCAAAAATTAAATAAAATAAAAGCACTTTGTAGCTCCCGAAGACTTCTGCATGCTTCATGTCTCCATTTTCTTTTTCTTCCTTTGTCTCAATGCTAGGATTTCTGTAATGAACTATGCTGCTACATCTATCTCCTTGCCAAGCCCAGTTGTAAGTCAGCTCTTGTCCCCACAGGCAGCAAATACGTACCTCGGGCCATCCTGGTGGACCTGGAGCCGGGCACCATGGACTCAGTGAGGTCAGGACCCTTTGGCCAGATCTTCAGGCCAGACAACTCTGTTTTTGGTAAGTTGTCATGCTCCATGAGAGCTGGCCAAATGACTCACCCCTTCCCAGCAGCCATGGGCTTTATAGTTCTGTGTGCAGTGCCCAGCTGAGCCTGTGTCCACAGACCACAAGTCCTGACCTCACCTATGCAGCTGACAATATCATGTCTGTTCACTCCTGACAGCTCAGAGGAGAGTGTGGGCCTGTAGGGGCTGTTAAAGGCCTCCATGAGGAGCAGCCTCTAGGGGGAGGGGTGGAGAGGATGAAAGTCTTCAAAGAGGGCATCACAGGCTGCAGGTGATTTCAAAGGACCAGTGATGCCAGGTAACCACTTCAGTGACCAAGGTGTAGACCAAGTGCTTAGGGCTGCCTTGCACTGACTCTTTAATTATACCTAATTAAGACTATCTACAGAAGGTTCTCTGTGCTTATTTTCAGAGGCGGCTCCTTTCCTTCAAGTTGATTCTTTTGTTGAGACAATCTCATACACTCTAGGATGATCCTCTTACCTCTACCACCTCAGTACTGGCCTTCCTGGCATATGCCACCATATACAGCTCCTCAGTTTAATTCCAACCTTCCTCCCCCTGCCCCCCCGGGTCTTGGAAAGGTGACTTTTATTTTTAAATCAATTTATAAAATCAGAAAGGTTGAAGATAATGAGGTGCTACACCACAGCTGGCATATGTTTATATTGTGTAACGTTTAAAACCTGGCTAAGCGTTTTCATTGCAAACATTTCCATGGGATAAAAACTCAGAATCCTCTCAGCTTTCTGACATGCACAGAACATTGTTGTTTCCATAGCAACAGCACAGCAGTGCTTCTACTCCCCTGGGCTGTAACTTAGCAACTGAGATCAACATTTCCCCAACACTCTGGATCTCGGCCTTTTTGAGGGTCATTAATTTACACAAATTTTACCTTTGGAAACAAAAGTGTGTCTGAAAGATTATCCAGGGTATCCCAAGAATAGTCCCACCTTGCTCTTCAGAGTTTTAATGACAGAATCTGGGATTCCTATGTGTCTCTAATATTCTCTTTGTTCCGACAGGCCAGAGCAGCACAGAAAATAACTGGGCAAAAGGCCACTACACAGAGGACACTGGGGTTGGCACCAGTTTAGACATCATACCCTCTCGCATCGTCTTAGCCACCAAGGTCAAGCTCTGCAACACCACACTTTCTGAGCACCAGCTTGTGGAGAACACTGATGAAACCTACTGCATCAATGAGACCCTGCATGACATCTGCTTCTCCACCCTCAAACTGACCGACCACACCCCCATTTGATGACCTCACCTACCTGGTGTCAGTCACTCCTCAGGCCAGCTGAATGCAGACCAGAGCATGCTGGCTGTGAATATGGTGCCCCACCTCTGACCAGGAGTGTCACCGGCCATCTTTCTGCTGGAAATGCTGGTGCTCCAGCAGCAGAGGTCATGTTCTACCTAGGATACTGGTACTAACAGCAAAACAAGTGGGCGAGGGGGTTAAAATACTAGTACAGCTTTTGCTGAGGCACTGGTGTGATGAAGCCGTCTTGTAGCTGGTGTGCTCAGAGCTGTCCAATGACAGCCCTTGGAACAGGGGCAAAGCAGTGATAACAGCTTTGGACTGTTCCTTCAGTTCTGAGTATGAGGCGTCCCTAGAGTAGAAGGGATTCAAAGCCCTTCTTCATGAGGGTCCTGGGAGGGGATGAAATAGTTAAGCCGGGAGCCCTGTGGCTTAACTGGAAGTAAACATGGAGAACAGGTGTGATCTGCCTGGGGTTGCCATGGGTCACCAAAAACCACCTGTCCACAGATAAAAAGGGACTTCCTAATTAATGTCTTTATAGTAACACTGTTAGTCCTGGCCACTGGTTCCTTTGGCTCTTATTGTTCTAGGACAAGGTAGAAACCTCTATGGATACAACTCCAGTGGTTCCAGGGCTCATTTACCCAGTTAGCTGGGCTTCTGTGAAAGACTTCTCATGCAGTGGCAGGTTAGAACAACAACAACAACAACAACAACAACAACAACAACAACAACAAAAAAAAAAAACCTCTAGTTTGCCCATTTCCCCTGTGGGACTCATGTGATGCTCTCTGGTCTCCTCTGCCACATGCCCTGAGTTGAGCCCTTGTTACCCATGGCCATCATTTGCTATCTAGTACAAGTGTTTGGCTTTCTTATCATCTTTGGCTCTGTTCTCCATGACCCTCCTTGAGCATCCTAGGCTTTAGAGCATTTTCAACATCTCCTTTCAAATCTCCCATCCCACATCATGGAAGAAGTCAAGTATAACCATCCCGATATAGCCATAGGTCCCCTATCAGTAGATTGAGCCAACCTCAAGTTTCAGCTATTTGTGGGGAAAGGCTGTATTTGTACAGAGCATGCACAGACTTTGTCTTGCCGCTCTCTGTAAGCACTACAGTATAAACAGCTATTTAAATGACATTTACACTGCTTGGGTGTTGTGACTCATCTAGAGATGATTTAAAGTATACAGGGGGTGGGGAAGGTCCTAGACATATACAAACTGCTGTAGGGAGGGGACATACATCTGCAGGTTTATATAACCCTTTCCCATGGGTACTGAAGGACAACCTTGCTAGTTCTGTATTCCTGTGTAATAAGTCACTACATACTGAGCAGCTAAAAGTGAAACAATCATTGTACAGTCTCCAGGGATCAGGAACCTAGCATTGAAGATGAGTCCCTTCCTCAGGACATCACAGAGTGGACCATCCTGGTCTACACTGTCATCTGGAGCTCAGAGGCTCTTTTCACGCAATTCATCTGAGGGACTTCTCATCTCTACTGCTATTCACCAATGACTGCTCTCCATATCTGCAAGTGTCTAGCCATTCTCTGTGACACAGTAGCCCTCGCTTGGAGGTCAACAGGCAAGCATGCTGAGCCTGATGGTCCAAACTGAGGTGCTCTCCGGTCACAGCTGCTAACAGTCTTGTTTTGGGGGGACCATTAGAGACAGCCTACCCAGGAAACCTTAAGGCAAACTGATGTGAAACCTGCCTATAAAAACCCATCCCAGCAGTACTTAGATTAGTGTTTGAACAGTTGGAGAAGGGGTCATCTTAGAATCTGCCTAACACACATGGACTGTGTAGAATGGAAATAACATGATCTTTGGACTCAGATAAACCTGTGCTTATCACAGGGTAAATAACTTAGCTCATTCGTTAGTAAGCACTTTGTTTGTAGTGCCAAATGACAAAGGTGATCTGGCTAATAAACTTTGGAGAGGTCACATAGGTTCATTATAATGGAGGAAAACATCCTAATAAACTTTAGAAAGGTCATATAGATTCATCATAATGAATATATATAATATTCATTGTAATGAATATATATGTATTTCTAACATGCATGCTTCGTGTTAGAATAGCCATGAAGTATTGGTGGTATTACATTAGTAGCAACATTTGGGGCTATGAACACTATTACTTCTTGGTATCCAAGGAGATTGATGCCAAGATCCCCGTGGATGCCAATAAAATGGTCAGATGTTTGCATATAACCCACACACTTCCTCCTGTTTACTGTGCGTTGTCTCTAGATTACTGATAATCCCTGATACAATGGCAAAGCCAGGCAAATAGTTGTTTAGCATGACAGGAAAACTGTCTGCACATGCTCAGTGTTGACACCTCTTTCTGTTATTTTTGGATACATTTTGTCCGTGATTGGGTGGTTCCATGGATGTGTCATGTGCATGGGCTACGTGGGCCAACTATAGAAAAAAACCTTTAAAATTCATCTTACGTCTGACATTTGAAGATAGTGCTTAGGACTGTTTTGTACATGTGGCATTGAACAAATCTATAGTGACAGATGTGAAGCAGCACCCCTTCCAATTAGTCTGCTGTTTCTGAGGTTAATCTGGGATATAAAGGGACATAACAACCAGAAACGATTTGGGATTTTTCTGAAGGTCCCAGTTATACAGTCAGGGCGGCCCTGGACAGTTTGTTGTTGTTGTTGTTGTTGTTTTTCTTTTGTTTTGTTTTCAGGTCTGAAGTGCTCTCAGGCTGATAAACACTTTTGAAACGATTATTTCAATATTCCTTTTTAGCTAAAGGATGTCGATTGGTGTTTTGAAAGCACTTCCCCTTGGATTCAGCCTCCCATACAGACTGTTCTTGAGAAAGCAGCACAGACCACGGTAGAGACAGGGAAGGAAGGATCGTTTCTGAATCAGAGGCTGAAGTACAGCAGTGTGGCCGGGAAAGGACCTCGTGGATGAACACTCAGGGCAGCCATCTCTGAGCCAGGCTCTCTCCCCCATGCTTGCGAATATTTGCTGCAAAACTCTGCCCTGCACACTTTCAGCAAAGGCGGAATTATTAGGCTCTGTGCAAACAACTGGCATCCTTCCCTTCAGAAGAAAAGAAAATATTGATGTCAACCTGCCCAAGTTGCTATTTGCCTTGAAAGCAAAACTGAGCAGATCTGGGGCTCTGGAATGTTCTGGAAGAACTGAATAGTGTTTTCTGCACTA